CCGTCTCTAGTTGTTTTCCCAGGCCGTTGACCGGGATTGCGCCATACCTACAACCTACGAGGCAGTCACTCAACCGCTTTGGCCTTGCTGACGCATCTTGTTCTATCCCGTGGTGCCGTCATCACTGTCAATGTGCGACTGAAGGCGTTTCTGCCCGCCTTGCACCTTGTTTTCCCATGCATTATGGACACCTCCGTATTCGTGGCTCAGTTGTCCCATCGGTGGTATCACCAAGCTTGGAATGTGGAGGAGCACACGAGTAGATACGAGGCAACAAATTTCGGGGCATTCTATCATGCAATTACACCAAAAGTCAAAGAAGAGGACGAGATGGGCCGTTTTGCCGGCTTAGCTACAGGGAGGCTTTGGGCCGGCTCGTGCTAATTTCTTTGATCCAAATCAGTCCCCAAGCGGCGCCTCTCAACCCTTCCATCTGTTTTCTCGAAACATCGTCTAGTGTGCTTCTCCAAGATGGATATGCGGTTCCCCGCCAGGGCCGCCATCCACAGCCCACCACCTTCATGGATAGACGGGACCCTGGCTTGAAACCTGCGGCCGACAGCTGCACGTCTCTTGAATCGTGCTTTGCTTCGCTCGTTTCTCACGCTTGTTTCCATTTGAGATCATCTGTGTCGGATGCGGACTTTCCCTCCAGCACTTTTTATCAAAACATCTGCAGCTTTTTTCAGACATCGGCAAAGCCCTCAGGTTATCATCGATATCGAGCCTCCGCGACCCTCTATTCCACCTTTGCCGACCCACCGCATTCCCCAAGATTTGACAACCCGAAGTCGTCACAAGTACGATTGCGAAAACCTTCCCTGCGCCCTCCTTGCAACCTGCCGGTGCCGAAGCCCTCGTGCCATCCCAGATTCTGGTGTTACTAAGCCAGCGAATTCGCAGACGCTCCTGGTGGAGCCGAACAAAGCGGTTTATCTTGCAGATCAAGTCTTTATCTACCTCAGATTTTGACCCAGTCGTACTCAAAAGGTGGCGTCGCACAGTACGTGTGAGAAACATGGGATGAGGGGCAGTGCACCAAGAGCAGTAGTTCATTTCGCGTGGACACGCGCTCAGATTCAACAACCCCTCCAGCAAACATGCGACGACATCATGGACGAGCCCTGTCACCCTACCATGGCCGCACGGCCTCTCCTCCTTCCGCAGAAGTCTCCTTGGTCCGCAGTTTTGACTCCAAGATCAATCCGTCAAGACCTGCCAGACAATCCCCTCTAGCAACCTCTCAGATACAGGGTATGCCGTTAGATTTGATCGACCGCATTCGTTCATTTCCTCTATTCCAAGCCACCTCCGATGACTTCCTCGCCGACATTGGTCTCCTGCTCAAACCCCAGCTGCACAACACAAATGACTACATCATCACCGAAGGTGAAGATGCCAAGGCCATGTATTGGCTTGTCCGGGGCGCTGTTGCTGTTACATCTCGGGACGGCGAAAGCACCTTTGCTGAACTAAAACCTGGTGCCTTCTTTGGAGAAATCGGGATCCTTATGGAACGTCCTCGCACTGCAACAGTGGTTGCGCGAACAAGATGCATGGTGCTGGCACTGAAGAAGGAGGACCTAAAAAAAATACTACCGAAATATCCCGATGTGGAACATGCTATTCGAGACGAGGCCTTGGAACGGCTGACGCAGCTGGAGAAGAAAAAGAGACAAGTGCTGCTCGGCATGGAAGACGTCCCGAATCACGAAAGAAGAGGCTCTAAGAGAGCCAGAACGACAGTTGGCGAGGACATATATATGAGAGACAATGACGGCAGTGTCACCAGCTCGAACAAGCGGCGCAAATCTCCCAGCCCCGGTACAAATGAGGTGTCAACAGCAAGCGCATTGGGACATGGTCTCGTTAACATCCGCGCGACCTTGAAGGAACTGCCGTTGTTTGCCTCTCTGCCTTCGGATATTCTCCACTTTCTCGGTCTCAGTGCCCAACCCAGAAGCTTTGCACCCTTTACAGACATCATCAAACAAGACACTCGAGGTCGTGAGGTCTATTTCATTGTCCGTGGGGAGGTTGAGGTGTTAGATGAGAGAAATGTGTCGTCTCCCAAGCCACACAAAGCCGGAGAACCCAACGGCGTGCTGGGTACCCCACGGGTGATAGCTCGGCTCCGGCCAGGACAATATTTTGGTGAAGTCGTCAGTCTGTCGCTCGCAGATCGTCGGACAGCTACTGTGCGATCGGTAACCCAAGTTGAATGCTTAATGATCTCAGAAAATGTACTGGCGGATTTTTGGCACCGCTGTCCAACGAGTGTGCTGCGGCAGATTGAGGAGACTGCAAAGCACCGATTACAGTTGGCATCGGATAATGATGTTATCATGAACGATGCCGACACAACACCTGATATTCATGATCTTGAAATCCGGGACTCGAAAGAAATGAGGCAGAGGAAAGTCGTTACTGGACCTCGAGTGACCTTCACAGACACAGAGATCAGTGCTTCTACACCAATTGTTGCGACGGATGAACCGAACAACACCCTTGAACCTTCAGACCCGGATCCTTTCTTGAGCGAGGGCCTAGAAAAGGTTAGATCAAGATCAAGAAGAGGTTCTCTTGCTCCACCGCCGCCCGACGAGCCATCTAAAGATCAGAGACGCCGGTCGCCTCGATCATCACCTACTACCACAACCCACCCATCTCCTCGAAGCTCAGCATCCGGAACCCCATCCCCTACATCCGAGTACAAAGGCAGCAGCGGCTTTCCATTCTCCGATCCTTTTTCTCCCGGGAGTCGACCCAAACCCCGACCACGGTCGAGCCGCGGCCTGAATCGGGGAAGGATACCTGATAGACTACTGCCGTTGATTCTCGAATATCTCGACCTGCACGACTTGATGCGCTTACAAGGAGTGTCCCTCCACTGGCAGAATGTTCTTAGTACTGCACCTAATCTCCTTCATCATCTTGACCTATCCCGCTATAATCGGAAGATCACCGACGACATACTCATCAATCGCATTTGTCCGTTTATTGCAGAAAGACCCAGGTTTGTTGACATCAGCAACTGCTTTCACATCACTGATGAAGGCTTTTCCGCGTTGGTCAACACATGCGGAGCCAATGTGCAGGGTTGGCGTATGAAGAGCGTGTGGGATGTCACTGCTCCGGCGATTTTGGAGATGGCGAACAAAGCTCGTGGGCTCAAAGAAGTCGACCTGAGTAATTGCCGAAAAGTCAGCGACACATTGCTGGCAAGAATAGTTGGTTGGGTGGTTACGGCACAACCTCCAGCGCCTAGCAACCGCACAAAAGTCAACTCGCACCGTCCTGTACTCAACACCAAACTCAGTAACAACGCTCCTCCGCAGCAACCTCCCCCCGGGACGGTGATTGGATGTCCAGAGCTGAGTTCTATCACTCTAAGCTACTGCAAACACATCACTGATCGGACCATGGCCCACATCGCAACGCATGCGCACGACCGGATCGTTTCGATGGATTTGACGCGGTGTACGACCATAACCGATGCTGGGTTTCAATTCTGGGGCAATGTCAAGTTCGAGCGGCTAAGGAAGCTGTGTTTGGCCGACTGCACATATCTCAGTGATCAGAGCATCGTATGGCTCGTCAATGGAGCGGGTAGTGGTCTGAGGCAGCTTGACCTGGTGAGTGGTGATGTCCTTGTTAAGGTGTTTGGCTAATTGACGTCTCTTAGTCCTTTTGCTGCGCACTGTCTGACACAGCGACCGAGGTGATTGCCTTGGGCTGTCCGAATCTGACACACCTGAACCTCTCCTTTTGCGGCAGCGCTGTTTCCGACCCGAGCTTACGGTCAATCGGCCTTCACCTGACCTCCCTTCGCGAGCTCGCAGTTCGAGGATGTGTTCGCGTCACAGGGCTTGGGGTTCAGAGTGTGGTCGAGGGCTGCCAGAAACTCAAACTCTTTGACGTGAGCCAGTGCAAGAACCTGCAGCCCTGGCTGGTTAGCGGTGGGATTGAGCGGTGGCGATCCATGGGCCGAGACGTGGAATTTGTCGTTGTCAGCTCAGGAACGAAGCTGGTCCGATGAAGAGATTTGAGAGAGTGTGCGTGTAATTTACACCATCTTTTGCTTTGCCATTTTTGTGCTGCGCCCAACGGGGTTTCCAAGCTACGCAAGCGATTTTTATGTCTGCATTCTATTATGCATTATTGCATCATGCATCATGTGCGTTCTGTTGCATGAATGAAGGTCTTTCTTTTTTGGGCTCCCTTACCCTCGAAACAACGACGCGAGGAATGACGTGTAGCGAATCTTGGGGAAGAGCAGTGAACTTTGATTGATTGATTGATCGATCGATCGATCGATAGATAGATATCCGCAGCATTGCGAGGAGGAAGAGGGCTGAGAGGATCTGATGAGCCACGAGCGACGAGGATGAGGAGCTCCCTCCCAGATCTGACGAGTCAGGAGTCAGGAGGCAGTTCCCAGATGCCAGATGCCAGAGCAATCTTGGCGTCGGATGGGTATCGGTCTGTTTGTTTACTGAGGACGAGGACGAGGCTGAGGATAAGAGAGAGAGGGAACGGGAGAGAGGGAAGGCGAGGTTTGGACATGTCATGTGCCATGTGTGTGTGGATTTTCTTCTTGTTGTTTTGCGAATTGGCCATTTATTTGACGGACAGATACCCCCAACCTTTATACTTTTGAAATCACTTATTATTCTTCAAGATACGACATGATGGTGAGAGAGCGAGAGAAAAGAGACAGAGAGAGAGAGAGAGATACCTCCCGGTCGAGTGAGGGCTATGAAAACTATCCAAATATGAAAATCGTGCAAGTCGTAATCCCAATCAGCCGTTTTCGTTCCTCTTCAAATTCCCTGTTCCTGTCGCCTTTATTCCCACACGCTCTGATCCTTGTCTTTTTGCATTTTACCGTCCCAGGTACCGTTTGTTGGATTTGTCAGTTCGCCCTCTTCGACGGCAATGCCATGGAAAATGTGGATGAGAGGAAGACACTCCAAGGGGACTCCCCCCAACGCAAAGCATCAAGGAGACCCCGGCATTCTCTCGTAGGTTTCTAAAAGCTCCACAACAGCCCAGTGAGGCCCTGTCCTGGCATACTCGGCGGCCTGCTCGCAAATCCCAGAGAGCGATTCGCCGTCTTGAAGTGGGTGATGATCGAGCAAGAGCTTGACCATGTCTAATCGTCCCCATTCAGCTGCGCCATTGACAGCAGTTCTACCATCTTCCCTTGCTCCGGGGGCTCCGACATCTGCGCCGGCAGCAAGCAGCGTCTGCACAATTCGTACGTAACCCTCGATGGCGGCGCCTTGAAGAGCAGTGACTCCCGCCCATTTGGAGGCCGGTGTATTGGCATTCGCCCCATTGTCGAGCAGCATTTCCACGACTTTTAGATCTCCAGCTTGACTGGCGGCTTGTAAAGCTGTACGTCCAAAAAATTCAGCAGGAGGCGCGTTGATGTCTGCTCCATGGCAAAGCAGTGTCTTGATGAGATGGGTGTGTCTTCCCATCGTTGCCAACTGGAGAGCCGTCCCGCTCGCTGCGAAAGCCACTGGATCGAAATAAACCGAGGGAAGAGAGTTGGGATCAGCACCTGCTGACAGAAGATACTCGACAGTCCCCAAGTTTCCCTTTGCGCATGCTTTTTGCAAGAACGATCTGTATATCGCCGATGTCATCCGCTTTGGGTGGAACATTCCACCATGCCTGCGCTTACCAAAATGATCGCCGACAAAATCTTTATTGATATCAAACCCCCTGTGGACAAGTACACGAAGGAAGCTCAGATCAATGCCGTCCCACATGTCAATGAAGAGTGTTCGACCCTGGCAACGGGAAAGCCTGATGGCAGGGCTGTGCTCGAGAATAGTCTCTACAACTCTCCAACTTTCGGCACCCGATGACCGTATCGCTTCCTCGGCAATGGAGTAGCCAGAGTCCAGGCGAGCATCGATGTCGATGTCGAGATCAAGCAAGCGCCGGACGAAATCTTCAGAATTTTCTTGTGCCGCTTTGATGAATGGGCAACAGTAAGTGCGGTTGTCCCTCTTGACGGGAGACAGGTCTGCACCGGCCTTTACCAAGGTCCGGAACACAGACTCTGAACCTGCTTCAACCGCAGCCACTATTGCGCTTTGTCCATTCTTCCGAGAAATGTTCCCGTTCACGTCTGCTCCCCAGGCCAGGAGAATTCCAACCAGGGTTTCATTTCTGCTGTAAACTGCTGCTTGCAAAGCTGAGACCCCATGATCTGGTGCGCAAGGTGCATTGACATCGGCACCCAACTCCAACAAGTATTTCACGAGACCTTCGTCTCCGCGCCATGCCGCATGTTGCAGTGCCGTCTTCCCCTCAAATCCCATGGCAGGATCATTGATCCTGGCACCGGCGCCGATCAAAAACGATGCGCATTGTTTGTTTCGTGCGAAACACGCCGCTTGCAAGGCGGTTCTGGTAATCCCGCTGGTACAGTATTCGTGAATGTCTGCTCCGCACCGAATCAGAAGCCCAACAGAGTAGAAGGAGCCTGAATCTGCTGCAAGATGGAGTGGTGCATAACCCCTCCCACGGCTGGACACAAAGGCGCCATGCGTGATGAGGCATTCCAAGACGCTGATATGATCGTCCCGTATGGCCACCTCGACTGCATTTCTGAAGCCACGGAGTGCCGCTAAGGTTCTCTGATGTCGGTGACTGTCCTTATGAGGACGGTGCCAACTAGACTCCACGTCCGCACCCGCCTGCAACAACAGCTCGCAGATGTCCGTGTGACCAGATTCAGCGGCGAAAAATAACGGAGGGATACACTGGGATTTCGGCGATTGATCAAGCGAGTCGCTTCCCCCTCCTTCGGGGCAGGCGCCATTTCGCAACAGAAGCTGCGTCAACCCGAAATTTCCACTGCGAGCACTGTAGCATAGAGCTGTACATCCCTCATCATCCGTTGCATCAACGTCAGCACCTTTGTGTATGAGTAAAGAGACACCCTCAATCGACAACCCAGCTTTGACGGCTAACGGCAGCACTTGAGCCTTTCCGATGGTGGACATTGAGTTCAAAATAAATCGAAATGCACCGGGTAGAAATTGCGCTGCCTGTTTCAGAAGTTCTTGACTGATTGAGGTAATCACGTCAATGACTCGACCCTTGTTGTTTCCAATCTTTTCTTCTAAAAGGGTCAAGACGAATGTTTCATGACCTTTTTCGATGGCGGTAAATAGCATCCTCTCCAGGAGCCATTTGGTTCTCGGTGTTGATATACTGCCCAAGGCCCACTGATTCTTTAGCAGATCTACCAAATCATACCTATCAGTCCGTGCCGCATAGACCAGTAGCCGCTCTTCGAATTTCCAGCACACGCTGATTTCGAGTGAGCCAAATGCTTGAGCACATCCAGGCTACCTTGAGGTGATATGTGAACCATGAAGTGGTCAAACTGAGCGTCATCCAGATGATTATTTGCACAGAGATATATGACAAAGCTGGTAAGTGAATACAAGTTGATGCTTCCGGCCTGGTGGATTACAGCATTGAAGTTCTGGCCTACAGAGTCAGGCTCCACTCTGGGAAGACGGTTGAGGATTCTTGAGGCGGCCGCTTCCCGCTGCGTTCTAGCAATCGCTTTTGGCCTGAAGTCGCCTAAAAGTATAGATTGAACATCAACCGTAAGAAGTTCGTTCGAAACTTTATTGGTCTCCGGTAAATGGGATTGTGGTAACTGCGTGTGGGAAGACAGCACTGGGGTGGCGCCGTGCAACGCTGCAGCGGACTCTTGTGCTTGCTGAAGCCACGAAAATGCGGGAAGCCTGATGTTCGAGAGCGAGAGAGAGTCCACAAGGGATCTTCGGATAGATATCCCTTCGGGAGTGGTTGTCTTTTCCTCCAATCCGAACTTCCGCTGCAAGGTTGGTATATAATGTCTCCTTAGAGCCCTCTGCAACTTCTTGGGGCTCAGCGTCACACCACTCACCGACGTGACAACATTTGAGCCAGACAGACCTCGCCGTTCCAAGCTATCACCGAGCGCTTTGCAGGTCGAAGCTTTGAGATTCTTCGAGTATCGCCATTCTTTAAGCTTCCGCTTGTACTGCGGTATACTGGCGTCGAATGAGTATTCTTGTTGGAGGTACTCACGCATCTCCTTTAAAGGGAAGCGTTGATAGATGTAAAGGTTGTAGATGATTGGCTGGTGCTTGCGCCAATCTTGGGCGGAGGGAGTGAAATGCTGAGCGCCAGAGGAAGCGGCTGAAGGCATTGTGGAAGACGCCGGTGGGTATCTGGGGCTTGTCGTTTGGATAGAGAAGTCTTCCTTGGTAGGGAGAAGGGCTCCAGGTGCAACGAGAAACATAACAACCACGTCAGCCTGACAGAAGACTCGAGACTGCAGATCGACTGAAAGCAACGACCACCGTCGTTAGAAAGTGAGGAGGTCTTATACCACGCCTGGTGGCCGCCGGAACGGGAGAGATGCATTGTTGAGCTGACCGACATGTTGGATTGGTTTATTACAGGAAGTTCAGTGGAGCAGGTGGCCGGCTATTTGGTTGCATGATGCATGATGCATGATGCATGATGCAAGGTCGAGTCCAAAGACGCCAGGTCAGGGATTGGTTTGGCAATGGGCGCAGTCACAGCCACCGCAGCAGATGTTGCTCTTACCTGACTGGACAGAAGCGAAAGTACGCGAGGCACTATTGGTCTGTCATGTCGCACGTTCTTAAGAAAAGGAGGAAGACTCTCGACCTCCATCGGCGCTGTCCAATCATCGCATCTCAGTTACCCCCTGTGCTGAGGCAGGGGAGTCCGTAATTATCAACTCCGGGTGTTGAAGTGGAGGTGAACTTTTGGCCTCTCGCCAACCACTGCTCGTACGCAGCAAAGGCTGAGTGATGGAGAGCCTTGCGAGCGACTTTCAGAGCATAATGACGACCTTTCGAGCCCGGCTCCTCTGTTTAGGGTGGCACTGCGAAATCCCAGACTTCCGGAGACAGCCAATATTCTTGCTCTCGACATGAAGCCAGCGAGCACCACGCATGCGTCTCATGGGCAACGCTACCCGGTCAGAGAGGAAGAGCGAGCCAGCAAAGTGGTTATAATCCTGCCTTCCCCTAGGACGTTCGGACCGTTCCCTTTTAATTCTTAACTTTAACAAGACAGCCTCTCACTGCGCAATGCATCTCTCTGCCGAAACTGTTGTTGGCATCGCCGCAGTTATAGTCGCCCTTCCACCGCTGGTAGTAGCGGCTCTGACGGCGTACCGGCGAAGAAGGGAGCATAGCCTGCTTCCCACGCACGAATCTGCCAGACCTGTCACAGTGCTGTACGACCGAGGTAAGGACAGACCCAGAGGACGGGGGTGGCTTGCTAAGAGGTCCCCGGACAGGAGTAACTCAACTGCCAGTAGAAATGCCATCCATCAGTCGACCCACTACCGCAGTCCTTCATCATCCAAGATCCCTTCCAGTTACCACCCTTTTCCCGGTACAGACGACACGCCATCCAACCTGGTGACTTGGGAAGTGACGATATTCGAACAGCTCAGGGCAGACTCGACATGGGGGAGTTGGCAAATCTTAGCTTTGTCCGGCTGTACAGCTGACCCTCAACCGTGCAATCCGCGGAAAACAAGCTCGATGTTACTTGGTGGTCTTTGGACCGGTGATTTATGGAACTGGGGTCGATCTGAAGATAAAGCCATTAGAGACGAGTACAGATTGGAACTTGATCGTTGCCAGGACTATAATGTGGTGCTCAATGCGGTCTGAGGAGACTTTGTTGTCGTTGATGGCTTTGGCGAGTATGTACTTTGTGTGGAGATTCTAGCTGTTGTGGCTCCAAACTGTGGGGAAACTTTGTGCAACTGCCTGACTGTGACTGTCTAAAATAATGACAATCACCTCATAGTCCATGCTATGTGCGTCAATTTATCCCGCTGCCTATTCCAACCCCTTGAAACAGGTGCCACAAACGTCCTCGAGGTTCACCAACATGGACTTCAAGTCCCTGATGTCGGCTCAAATAGCCAAATCAAAACCACCACTTTCAAAGTCTCCCGCATCTCCCTCCCCAACTCCCGATCCTCCTACCTCGACACCAGCAAGTAAATACATACGTCGCGCCGACCTTGAAGCCTCGCGGCAAGCCGAGTACCTAGCCGAGCAGGCCAGACTCTCCGCCGAACGGGAGGAGCGGCTCTCCAAGAAACGGAAACTCGAGGAGGAGGAAGCCGAACGGAATGCCCGCAGGGAGGAAAAGCTGCGGAAACTGGCGGAAGAGTCACGACGGAGGAGGGAAGAGGAGGAGAAGGAGGAGGAGAGGAGACGAAGGAAACGCCTCGGACTGGCTGAGGTGTCGGATCAACTGGCCCTCGAGGACGGGGGCGCAGGGGACAATGCGGCTGCAGGGACGGGTGGAACACCCGCAGAGGACATACCCGACGACGAGCTGCGGCAGAAACTCCGTGAACTCAACGAGCCGGCCGCTCTCTTTGACGAGGACCACTCTGCGCGGTTGAAGCGCTTTTACGCCCTCACGCGAACGGCGCTGGCGACGGCGTCTTCGCCAAAGTTGAGCAACGGACCCATCCCGACCACGCTGGAACCTGTCGAGGAGAAGGACATGCTCCTCCCGACCACATCCCTCCCTCTCCAGCCGGGGACACCGGAATATACCTTCCTCCACCGCCAGCTCGCGTCGTACTTTACCCTTCTCCTCACCGAATGGTCGCGAGCGCTGTCGGAGCGGGACGAGTCGGTCAAGCAGTCCTCGAGCGGCAAGGCCGCGTACAACAACTACGTCGTCGTGCTGAGGGACCTGACGCCGCTGTTCCGGCACTTTGAGAAACAGACCCTCGACCGGGACCTGCTCGAGCCCATCTGCAAGATCGTGCGCTCGGCCCAGAAGCGGCGCTACGTCGAGGCCAACGACGAGTATCTCACCCTGTCGATCGGCAAGGCCGCCTGGCCCATCGGGGTCACCATGGTGGGTATCCACGAACGTTCCGCGCGAGAGAAGTTGCACGAGAGCTCGAGCGGGAAGCAGGCCCACATCATGAGCGACGAGGTCACCCGTAAGTTTCTCCAGAGCATCAAGCGGTGCATCAGTTTCGCCCAGACGAGGTGGCCGCCCGACGACTTGGGCCAGCTGATGGGATGAATGACGCGTGGTTGTTTCTACCCACGAAGGCTTCCTTGTCTTCTTACCACCACAAGGATAAGGTTTCATTCAATCAGAATGCTTCAAAGGCTGAATCTTACCAAATAGCCAATCGTCAACTATGTACTGGCGGAGTCGTCTACTGATGTTCAGGGGAGGATGCATTTCCAATCTTCCGGATACCGCAGAAATTGAGCCCCCGTCCTGACGCTGGAGGAAGGGAGCACGAATCGAATGGTAATCTCTGGGTATTTGGATATCAAGACGTGGATGAAGGCTACTTCCAAAGAGCAAGAGATGGATGAGTTGGACACGTGTGGGGTTGACATTCTGTGCCCCTATCACAACCGACTTACTTTACACTCTAATCAAGCACAACAGACGAAGATTGATACAATTTCAACTACAAAAACTTGTTCTTGTTGTCAATATGAGCTTCTCTTCCGTCGCGACATCACGAACCCTTCAGCCAAACCCACAACAAAAAACCAAAGCCCTCCTGAAATCTCCTACAGCCGGGATCCAACGACAGAAACTATTGGAATCAGACGTCATGCACGCTTCGCCCCCCAGCGGGAGAAATCAGCCTCAATGTGAAAGTCAACAACTCGGTATTATCCTCGATGAAAGTCTCCCTGAGAGGGAGGATTTCAATCAGCTGGATCGGATATGATTTTGAGTTCTCCCGAGCGGGAACACTATCTACGGGACCTCTACGGTATTATCAACCGATGCCTGATGACTTGGACATTGATGGTGACGCCAGTCCTCACTCAGAGCGAGCGAGAGAATGAGAGAGAGCGACCACGAAACGGAGAGAAAGACGACAGAGCAAGTGACAATGGTTACTCCCTCGCTCACTCACTACCGAAAGAGGCTCGTTCTACCAACCTACCCACCTACCATTAATATATTTTAAGATGAATGTAGAATCAGCGTTGGTGTTAGTATCTCACTACCTCATACGTGGTACAACTAATGAAGCAATCCGTACTGGGTACACTCGAGTTTGCGGGAAACGACTACTTGCGCCGCATTCATTCTATCAAAAGAACTAAATCACCACCCAAAAAATACCCTCCCGATCCTTTCCAATTATATGGTCAAGCAAGAAAGAACCATATGATATCAAAAATATCCCCCCTGGTAGGTAGTAGTCTAGAAAGAACAGACACCTCTAGAAAAAGCATTCAGTGCTAATTGGGGTATCGTAATCGTCAAACGAACTGGGCTCGCTAAAATTTCGACCCGCCAGAGTGGGTGGAATTCCCCCAAATGGAAAACAGACCAACTCCGCCTTTTGTAAATGTATCCTTGCCGTCTTAACCTGTCCTCGGTACTCTGTCACGCATGACTAGTCCACAGCATGTCAGACGTGTGTCCATCTGCTCCGGGGTGTACCCCGTGTCTTGTACCGAACTCCCTTGGTTCTAGCGTAGTGTAACCAGACGACGCCGCACTGCCGCCCTACACCACAAGACTCTAGGCTAGAATCTTTGTTGGCGTGCCTTTGGAGCACAAAGGTCCATTTCGCTCACTTCGCCTGGCACTCCAACACAAGAACCACTCCCGGTCATATGACAGCCACCACGAAGCTGACGTGTACCGAGGCTCATAGTTGTGACTGTGAGTGCATCACAGCCTTCTAGAGCGACATTGCTTCAGCCTGGCAGGCAGCGTGAGATCAAGGACAGGTGAAGTCACAGCCGTAGATAACCGATCGGGTATGCCGTAATTAGCACAGACTCTCGGAGATGAGTCAACGGCAACGGCGCGTCCGCCAGGGCCTAGGATGTGGCAAAGGTTTCTAGGGTTCCAGCCTCGCGGGTTGTGTTCCCTGCAAAGGAAACGCTGCCGGAGGTGGCCGGTGGACCCCGACTCACGTGCTGGAAATGGGTGGACTACTCCGCCCACCCAAAGTCCCCAATGGGCGAGAGGCAAATTCGCTCAGAAAGTGCTCCAGGCCCAGTCTTTGGGTACACTGTTAGCGACTTCCGCGACCGGTTTGCCCGTACGAAGGCCGCTGGAAATCATCCTTCGGTGACCCGTCGGTCCCGCCAGAGGCGTCGGAGGACCGCTCTCGTTGTTGCTGCAGTCATCCTTGCTGTTCTGGCTGTTCTTGCGGCGGATTGACCTGGCCGTATCCCAGCGTTGATACTGCCGGTGACATACCTCGCATGCCCGGGAGGGAATGCCGTCGGGATGGAACTGGGCATCCTGGTCCAGAGGAATTGTGTATGGGGTGTGTGAGGAGCAAAAGATATGACCACAGTGGCGACAGTGGTGTTTGCGAACAAACAGGCTGAATGATGATCGACATTGTGGCGAGTCACAAGTCGGTGAAGCTTCGTCGGGCTGAAGTAGAATCAGACATGTTAGCATCCATCTGTATGTCTCAATGTACGTCGCATGCTCATGCAGTCGTGCCGGGAATCGAGGTTGGCCATGGCCAAGTCGACTGAACGACGGTTGATTCTTGACATACCTTCCAATGTTCTCTGGTTGGCGGGCCTGTGACTTCACCCAGTTCCTCCTCCTGAGCCCAATCAGGGTCAAAAGCGTCCAGAGCCAGTTCGTCTTGAGAGTCCGGGCTTGCTGTCCGACCTTCGTCTTCTTGCAAACTGTCCAACGATCCATGCAGACTTTTTGGTGGGGTCATAGGAGACGGTGTGCAGAAGTGTTCGGTTGGCCGCAGCGCAGCAGGAACGTAGAGAGGGGATTTGAGCGGCCGAAGCTGCTTGTACGGATTGGGGGCATGCTGCTGAATGTAGTCGTGCATGCGAGGAGAAGTGGGTGAGGCTGAGCTGGCTGGGGAAGGTTGTTGGCTCATGTAGTTGGGAATCGCGTATGGCTGAGTTGTTGCGTTGGCGGTCATTCTCTGGAAGTTGTGCTCAGATTGATTTTCTAAGTAGTGTTGTTTCTGTCGGAGTAGAAGAGAGATAAAGGACGGCGGGAACGCTTTACCAAAAGCCGATCAAGTTATTTCAAGAGAGCAGAATCCAGTTGTACGGCCGCGACAGAGTTGTCTCCACGCACAGATCCGGTGAAAGCGCTTAAAGTCGGTGTTGACAGCAGAATTGGGATGCGGCTGATGACAGGGCGCGCAGTGGCTCGCGAAACGAAGCAACCACGATTTCGGAACCGAGGGTGATCTTAAGAGGCGCAGGGAGATGCCTCTGATAGGTAATACGTGACCTTTCAGATCAGAAGGCAACCAGATGGGCCTTGGGAACTGAGGCTGTCGAAAACGTGGGAGGTGGGGTGGGAGGTGAGTGGTGGTGGTAGACACGAGAGAGTAGATAGTTCTCTCGAGAGTGGGATGAGTGCGGGAGGACGATAACAGATAAATGAAAGGATAAGGCGCTGCGGGACCTAGAGGGGACCAAGTCGTTCTTTGTCTAGAAACCACGAAGTTCTATCAAAGTGTCAAGCAAGTAGTACGGTGGGAGAATATCTGGGGGAGGGAGAAGCACCCAAGAAGTATCTCAATTAGTATGGTGAGGTGGTGAGCAGAGTAGCAAGAAGCATTTTGCCCGCGGAAGGCTACGTGAGGGAAAGTCTGGTCGCGAGACCAGAAACCCTGATGGTATGGGTACCCATGTCAAGTCGCCTGCATGTCGCAGTGATAGGCATTGGCTGGGCCAAAGGCATGGGGGACTAAGAAGTCCAAGCTGATAAGGACGCCCGATAAGCCAATCACGGGTGCAGGATTTTAAACAAAGGATGGCCACTTGGAAAATGCGCTGGTGTCTGACAATTGGCTTTGGTGGTGCCCCTCTGGTGCCTCCGCCCGCCTTGCTGCAAGTAACTGCGCAACATGGCCACAGGCTTAGGCTTGGGGAGTAGTTGCCTAGGCCTGGGCTGCCACCCACAAGTTTCCGCACCAAAGAATACTCGTAGGTACTAAACTTCAACCTGCGCAACTCTTTTGGCCAAGTAGGAAGCATTTACCACTCTATTATCAATATAGGGTCTATTGTCCCCGGCAAGAAGCGGCCTCAACGTCAGACCTGTGGAGGACTTATTGGGGGACCGTGCGCCATTGAACTCGCCAACCAACCATGGGGCGCCTGGACTTAACTTTGATCTCTCTTGCCACCAAGGCCCCTTTGGGTGTGTCATATTGTGTGGTGGTTCTTGGATGCCGACAAGTGCCGCATCGGGTTGGTTGGGAAGCACTCCCAACAAGGTAAGCCCAAGAGAGCCCCGAGAGCCCAGCATAGCGTCGACTTTTCAATAATTGGTCCCAATCCATCGGTATAAGTCGAGGATACCTGGTTCCCTTCTCAATTTCCTGCAGCTGCATCGGCAACTGGCTGGGTTAGACACGGCAATTAGGCGGGTACGAGGGGCACTGCGCTGCCCTGCGCTCGAGTAATGAGATACAGAGTCATGCCGAGTTTCTGGCATGTGCTTAGATCCGTAAAGCCGCCAGCATCCATTGTTCCGTATGTTCCAAGTAGGGATCAGCCGCGCGAGTAATAGACTCTTTACCACTTATCAATGCAGTCGACGATCATTGATGATGTCGGGGCGGTGGCCATCGGTCATCGGTCAATCGGTATGATGGGAAAGCAGATCCGAGCCAATGTATCTACCTAGCTTGCTAGTATTTTCGGTGAATAATGGCAACGCTGGTGTCGCTCTTGAAGAGATGCTAGGGTTCTTGGGTGGGCTTTTTTGGTGGAGCTCATGATGAAATTGCAACTCCGTTATTATCTCGCACAGAATCCAAGTGGGGGCAATAGAGGGGACGAATGCAAGACACCGGAAGAAACATTCTGCTTTGTGTCTCCAGGAGATGATGTGCATTTCGTTAGGGTATCATGCAGCGGCCCGAGAAGACTTGGACGAGGCAAAGTGAGGGTAATACATGTCCGGGTGGAGAGGGCGAGAAGGGGGGGTTACCGAAGGGCGGGAGGGGGGAAGTCACAGAAGAAGGGAGCCAGATATCCGTGAGCCATCATGCAGTCCAAGTACCTGGACAGTGCTTAGAACTTCAGTTTCAGTTGGTCGGGCGGCTTTGCGGCCGAGGTCCGCGCAGGCTTGTCAGTGGTGGCGGTGGTCTCGCCAGGCCCAGCACGAGCCCAGGTGGTTGTTGGGTGGTGTGTTGGGGTTCTGGCTCTTGGGTACTGGTACTGCGTGCTCCGGGTGCTGCTCGTTGGCTGCTAGGCTGGATATGCTCCATGGTTACAGCCCCTGGTGAGCCTGTTGTCCACTCCGGTCCACCTGCATTACTCGTACCTACCCGGCTAGCGCCTAGCAGGTATCCTCCCCGTACACCCGTACCACCAGGAATACCTCTACCCTTGGTTCCAAGCACCCAAGGTCCCAAGGGTCCCTAACCTGCACCCACCCACCACCCACCACCCTGGCCACACCTGCACCCATCTGCAGCAGCCTCGCCTAGACGGTAGCTTGGTAGCCAATTGGGCGGTGATCCTTCCCCCGGAATCCCCCCCATGTTCCAGTTAAGGTTTTACCCAACTTCAAACTCGGTGAAAGACCTTTTGTTCCCACGGGATCGTCCACCGTTTCCAACCCTCAGCTTCCCCTCCATTCAACCTCAGGGAGAGAAGACATTGCTTCATCGGATGCTTCTTCTCTGAACCATTCTTCATCTGTCTGACTATCGTCGCTTTCCCCCAAACTTCTCTTTCCCCGTCCCACCCAAGCCTCTCCCACTCTCACCCGGTCCCGCGGTGACCTCATTGACTTCTGATCATCAGTACCATCGTCATCGGCATCTCTCTTTTCGAGGAGACTGGGAAAAGGGGAACACACCAAGCGATGACCAAAAGGCGCGCCGACCACCTTCGCGATATTTCACCGAGAGACCCCAATCACCCATGGGTTGCACGAGGCTATCGACCGGATGTGGCATATGCCAACAGGACGGCTCCTATAGAAGATCCCTACGGTGAGATCGCATATCAACGCGCCTTCGCCGAGGCGGCTGAGTCCAACTCGTTTCGAGTACCGGAGCCAATCCTCTATCACAATTCTCCATCGGCTCGGGAGTACATAAGAAGGAGAGACGAACCCTTTTTCTCCGTCAAATCTACGAAGCCCAGCAATAAAACTACGAGCCAGCCTGCCACGCCAACTTCGGTCAATACATCGGCTTCCTCTCCAGCAAAGCTTCCTTCACCGAAATACGGTTCAGACCCGGGATTCCCACTTGGTAGAGCAGATGTCAAACAGAACATTGAGCCTGGTCCTCCCAGACCGACGGGATCGCCCAGCAGCAAGGACTTCCAGCAACAATCGCCACCTCCAGTAAGACCCGGTGTCGGGCAGACTCCATCTCACCTTGGAAACAGTCTACCTTGGACCTTGGAGCCTAAAATCGATGCTCCATCAGGTCCTTCTAAGATGCTACGATGACCCAGGACATCAGAAGACATGTCACAAATTCCCTTTGGTCAGGGCAGACGGCAGACGGCACGAACATGTCAATCACCGCAAGCCTTGGCTACTCAGACGACTGTGGCAGTCATTTTGAATCCGTTGATGATTTTCGACCAGATGACTAGATCTCATAAGCACAAACTGCCACTGGGCGACACGATATCAGCAATCTTGGTTATTTCTTTTCTTGGTTAAGAACTCGGGATGCATCTGGCGAACAACTGCGGGAACAGCGCTTAATGAATTTTGTTTTGAAATGTTTTTGAGACAGAGATTGCGTTGCCACGGGAAGTCTCCAGCCTCGAAAACCCCCCCATGTCAACATCCACATGAACTTAATTGACGAAGTGACGGCCTTGCTGCTACAGAGAAGACAAAAAGAACGCGATGATGAACGAGGGACGGGCATTTGGCTGGGGGAAATTCACGTTACCATCAGTTTTGGCTTTTTTTTTTTTTGATCGCTACCGGCTTTGCATTGGGAAATATATCCTACAGTACTCGGTACATGGTTGAAACCTGTTTTGTGGCAGGGAGGGCGTTGGCGCAGCCGGATGATTTTGGCAGTTTTTGCTTCGACGAAGGGGGAGGAGGAGGAAGCATTAAGAGAGAAGCGGCCACAGCATCGAAGTAATGAAACATGTATGCGTGCACTATTCTGACGAACTGGGAAGGTATTGTCTTGCTTCTCCTCCCTCTTTGACATACACATTACCGACGTGCATTTTAAGTCTGTTTTGTCCGTCCCCTGCCACTATTCTCGGTGGTGTTTGTTGCTCTGGGCAGTACTAGTAAAGTTCTTTCTTTGCTTCCTCTACATCCTATCCCCCATCCAACGTACTCGTAATTCTTACGTCTTGAAACCGGTCACGAGCCCGTCGGGGAGAACGAAGTGAGAACGATATTGAGAGAGTAAGTGAGTAAGCGAGAAGCTCAAGCCCAATCTAATCCAACACAACTCAACTCCATTCAGTTCAATCCAATTTCTTTTTGACAAAAGCATCGCAATGTTAGTCCAATGCACATACGTGCCCTTTTGCCTTTTTATGAATCCCTAATCCACAAGTTCTCATGTCCCTCCATTCTGGCCGCCAGGAACCACGCCGGGGCGCTGGACCAGAAGCGAGATCATGGGCGAGAACAACGTGCGGGAGGTGCCGGCTACTGCATCTTCCTCTGCATGCACATGTGCATCTATATGTGGATTTATACTCGCAGAAGCATTCTCTGCTGCAGCGTCGGGCTGCGCAAGAAGCTGTGGTCTCGCCCACCGGGTCAGGTCGTTCCACGAAACCCATTCCCAGCCGGCGCATTTGTCTGGTTCGAGGAGTTGTGCTTTTGGCGGTGCGTTGTCGGTCTCTGCTTGGCTGTTACCATCAACGGCCCTTTTCGCCCGCGCGGTCATGAAGATGGTCACGTAGTGTTTTCCCTTGACCGCTCCGACGCCAGTCCCATCCCCAACCC